CTGCGGGGGCGGGCTTGGTGACACCCCGCTAGGGTGATTTGTCAGGTGCCATGTGCTACCACCCACCCAGTCAGAGGACAGGGACGGACCACTCTGGGGAATAAAGGCTGGTAACAGAAAGAACTGCCTTTGGCTGCTGATGGCCATCTTTTTCTTCTCTTGAGCCCTTTCTGCTTTGAGCCTCTGAAGCTTTTGCATCCCAGAGGGATCACGCCAAGCCAAAGATAACAGATTCATTGATTGCCGCAACACCCCTAAGGGCCTGGAGAGCTGCTCTTAACAAAATCCGACCCAGTTAGTTGAGAAATGTGAGTAGGACTCACAGGAGGGTCTAATCACATTGCTGGTGAGGCTGGGGTGCCCCCCAATCTGCCCTTCTATTTTGCTAGTCTTGTTTCCCCCCACTCCCTGCCCCCATGCTAAACAGAGGGGGGGGTGGTATCTTGACCTTCTAAATGCAAGGGGGAGACGTTATAATAAGCCGTGCTATTATGCAAATATGTTATTGAGACTGAATTCTTATTTCTGAGGCTTTGAGAGAGCTGATTAGATCACATAAAAAGAGATAAGGGGATTTATTTCTGTTCCTTTTTATTTGGATTTTTTGGTTTGGTTGCATTTTTTGGTAGCAGACCTGCTCTAGAACAGCCAAGAAGGAGAAATGTGGGTTTCTGAATTAGCTTCTAAGAATTTATTTCTGTCCAATTTAATGATGTGATATTTGAGTAAAAAAAAAAAATCTGAGATTACACAATAACAGCTCCATCTTCTCTCTCTGGCTTCCTTTTTGTCTTCTTTCTCATTCTAAGTCAGCCACAGTCTATGTTTCTCTCTGTCTCTTCTCCTTCTTGGGACTTAAAATAGAATCTAAAATAATGAAAAACCTGCCTGAAAACAGCAAACGCAAAGGGAATAACAGTGGACATAGAATTTTTATGGGACATCTTTAACTTACAAATATAAAAATTAGATCTTGATGAAAAGATAAAAAAAAAATTTTTACGGAGTGTGGTAATTTGATAAATGAAACTTGAGAGTTAAAAACAATAAATTCTGCCCCAGCCCTCTGTCCTGACCTGTGCCTCCAGCAGGGTATTGCATCTCTATTTTCTTTCCCTTCTTAGGAAAATAGAAATACTAATGTTTGGCTACTTCGTGGGTGTCTCAAGTATTTGCAAGTAAGTTAATAACGCATTTAAAGCGTTCAGTCTCCTAAAACCAGTTTAGAAAAATCTTCACTCCCTCGATCCCATTCCGGATCTGTGAAATTCTTGGCATTGCTGTAAGCAGTTAATTTTTTTTTTCCTTCATGTGTAAGGGAACCTGAATCCAGGATGTGTTTACATTTCATACTCTGTTCTCCGCATTTTCCCTTCCTCCTCTTCTTAGCTTTCTAGCAACAACAACAACAACAAAAAGTCCAGGCTTTCTTTTTCATCCAGGAAGGAAGTTGAGCGCTCATGCTCGGATCTTCCCGGTGTCATCTCTTTGTAGACCCTGAGCCAGGCTTAGAGCAAATGCTTACAAGCTAACACGTAGGATCCTCACCGAGACCCCTTCTCCTACTCGGCACTGGAAATCTGGGAGAGTCTTCTCTTTCTCTCTCTCTCTTCCCCTGTTCTGCCAGTTTGTCAGAGGTAAGAATGGCTTGTTGTCTAAGTTCTGGACCCAGATCCCAGCATATGTACCAGGCAGTACCACCTCCTTCTTGGGTCACAAAGATGAGGGCCCCCAAACTAAAAGAAGACTAAATCAAAGCTGCCAGATGCAACCTTGACCTTGTTCGGTGACTCAGTTTTCTTTCCAGTTCTCTAATTTCTTACAGAGCTGGCCTGTACCATTCAAGGACCGCCACTCAAAGCAAGTCTGTTAGAAATCTTTACAAGGGATGAGTGGGAAAAACACACTCCAAAACTTCAAAGTGCCATTAATCAATTTTAAAAAATAAAGGTAGCAGGAAACGAGGGCTAACAATGTAATCTAACTGCCAATTCAAGTGCACAGTAGTTCTGGTCTTC